ATTAAGAGTTAGACCATGCTTAGATTCAAGGCTGGCTAAATGACAAAAGCTCACCAACCAGGATAGCTCAGTATTTAAGGCTGCCAGGTGGTAAAAACATAGTATTTCAGGGACACCTTAACTGAAGTGTGGCAGGGAAGACAGAGAAGGCTGGGAAGATAGGCTGGGGCCAAGTTGTAGGAGGTCTTGAATTTTAAACTAAAAGGATTGAATTATTCATTGGAGTGACATGACAGAAAAAAGCCTGGAAATTATTAAGACTAGTTAGGCAGGTGGCTAGTAGGACAATGCTTGCCACATAGTAAGTGCTTAATAAATGCTTGTTGATTCATTGAAATTGCAGTTGTTCATGTATGTGGGAATAAGTGGCCCAGTAGCCTCTGCTAAGGTGGTGGCAGTGGGATTGGGAAGAGGGAACAGAAGAAAGAAATGTGGTGATGATGTATATATAATAGTCCTTTAAGGTATTTTCAAAGTGCTTCACACATGTTACCGTATTTAATCCTTAATAACCCTGTGAATTAGATATTTTCATCATCCTCATTTTAGAGATTAGCAAATTGATGTTGAGAGTGTTATAGCTAGTTCATATCTGAAGTCTTCCTTGGGTCTTCTTGACTCCAGGTTCAGCACTCTATCCACTGGTATGTTAAGCTGCCTTGGGAAAAGGAGGAATCAAAAGAATTAAGAGACTGAGCAAATGAATGGTGTTAACACTTAATGCATGTAAGAATGAGAAGCAGGTCTCAGGAAAACCAACTCAGTTTTGGACAACACTGAATTCAAGTTACTGATGGGATACAAGCCCAAAAGACAGCTCAGCAGAGATATCAGGTGGGAGATAAAAACTTGGAAGTTAACATGTAAATTAGTGATAGCTGAAGCCATGGGAGTCAATGCAGTAGGATTTAGCAAAGAAGACCAATAAGGACCTATGGAAAAGACAGGAAGTGCAACAAGAGGGAATGATGTTTCAGAAGCCAAGAGGGAAAATCCAGAAGGAGGAGGTGACCTACAGTCTCAAATGCTACCTTAAGGTTATTAGCCTAATTCAATTTAGTTCGTTTTAATGCCAGAAATATTCCTTGAAGTACTTACTTGCCTCCAGTGTGCAAAGGACAGCTGTGGGGATACAAAGATGAAGAAACTGACAGTCCCTAACCTCAACCTGAGCTCCTTTATTACCTTTATTCCTGGGAGAAAACCCTTGAAAAAATAAAAGCTTCCTCTGCACCTTCTTTCTCATATTTGGCAAGAGAAGAAAATTAAACATGGAGGCCATTAGTATGAGAGAAGTTACCCACATCCTGCTTAGGATGAATAGGTATTAAGATGTGCTCAACTGGATTCAGCTGAGGACCACATTATTATCTTTGGAATTTCTGGATTTAACCAGGCCTCCCTTTAGTCAGTGCGTGGACCAGTGAACCACAGGGCTTCTGTCTCAAAGGGCTGTGGAGAGATGATATTGGTTCTTTTCCTTTCCTCTCTTCATGGAGCATTTTTGGTATACTCACAACTGTATAAGATACACAAGAAAGGAGACAAAATGGTCATTACCCCTCAAAGATCTTGTAGGATGGGAAGAGAGGATCTAGTTATACAACAAGCAGGGAGTGGTTCCAAGATGGCTGGTTCACCAGCAAGCAGGTAATGTAGGCCCTTCAAACAAAACCAAAGTATTTGGAGAAGCCTATAAGGAGCTACTTAGGAATCATGATATAAATTCTTCCCAATTCATTTTATATATAATAAGCCTTTAGTGTTAGAAGGACTCTCATTTTACTGAAGAAGAAAAGTCCATATTACTAACAATTGGTTGAGACAGATCTGGAAACTAGGGCTTCTGAATTCAAGTCACCCAAGAATAACTATTTTTCCTAGGCCTAGAGGCTAATGAAGGATTTTCATCGCTATCTATACCTAAAGTTCATGTGGTGGGATTGGAAAGGTTCATTTTGTTCAGAGAATGATGAGAGCTCAACTAGCACTTACAAAAGGCTGCTGTCAGAGCTTTCAGCTCTGAAAGGAGCCACTTTCGTTCACTCAGCACCTACGTCAATGAGATTTTTTTTTTAATGCCTAGGATACAAGCTAGCATGTGTTGCTGCCACCAAGAGGGCAGATTCTGCTATATATTTTTTCTTTTTTTTACTTGCAGAAAAACAAGAGAGATAAATAAGCTAACAGTAAGAGTCTTTTTTTTGGGGGGTGGGGTAGATTTAATATTTTTTCTTCAGGATGGAAAGCTATCCTAGGTATGACAATTCTGGGTATACATTGAAAAGTCTCACCATGGAGTTCTTTGGGTAATTTTGACTTTTGGACTCACCCAAGCTTCCTGTCTGCTACCCCCATCCTAGTATCTGTTCATTCTGCAGCAGAAGCAGGCTTGGGAAGCCAAGAGAACTCCATCTTGGCTCAGTGCTACAGGGCACCTTCAGGAGCAAATACAAATGGAATGTCTTATAGAGGCCTTTTCTTGGCTCCCTTTTCTATCTCTTGGTGGCAGTTTATTACAAGACCTTTAAAAAAATGTAGAACTTCCCAAGTGCTACTAAGATTTTGGTTTTTGTAATTTCAGTGCAGCTGCAGTAAGGAACTATGGAATTGAAACACTCCATCAGGTTATATAAGAACAGCCTAAAAGGTAATAATGAAAGAGATACTGCTGTAAAGTTATTTCTTTCTTGCATTTAAAAAACAATAATATGGCTTTAATAGAATGTTCTTTTAAAATAAGACCCACTGTATGAAAAGCATCATGTACAGTGGAAATAATGCCAGTATTGGAGGATCTGGGTTCAGATTCCACTTCTAGTACCAACACTTGTGTGATCTTGGTTTTAACCTTTCTGAGGCCCAGGTTCTTTTTTGGAGAGTGTTGGACTATACTAGAGGATCTTTGCCAACTCTGTCAATCAGATGTCAATACATCTTTCTCAGGCACTGCCTAAACACTGGACAAATCACTGAACAAATCTAAGGCTTAGTTTGCACATCTATAAAATGGTAATAATAATAATGGTACCCACCTCCCTGGGTGGTTGTTATGAGGGTTAAATGACTGATGTATTTCAAATGCTAATATTATGTCCACTGGATCTAGAGCTGGAATCCACCCCAGAGATCTCTCCAGACTATGATAGTGTTGCCAGAACCCAAGGTCATCGACCTTTTTAAGTAGCAGGACTTAACCCCAAGTCCTCTTACTCCAAGTTCAGTGCCCTTCCCAGAGCTAAAACTAGAAGCAGGCAAGATAGGCAATCAAATCAGGCACATGTTACACAGTGATTCTCTTTCTGCCTCTTTCCTAGCTGTAAAGGAGCTGCAAAGAACTTTGGAGGCTCTGGGTTGGCTATGTCTGCATATGATGAAGAGTATGGTTCAGAAGGTATGAGACTATGACCTTTTCTGGACAAGTCTTACCTTCAAGGAGCTTACATTCTGTGGGGGGATATAATATAACTATATATAAATATATATAAAATAAATCAAGATAATTGTTGAGGAGAAAGATGCTTACCAGCTAGAGGAATCAGGAAATGAAATGGAGATAGCTTTTGATCTGGACTATAAAAGAAATCAATGATTCTAAGAGGCAGAGGGATTGCATTCTAGGCATGGGGGACAATCTTTGCAAAGGCATAGAGATGCAAATAGGAAATATAATTTTGTGTGAGAGGAATTTGGTTAGCCCTCTGAGTGAAGTACAGAAATGTATAATAAGCCTAAAAGGTGGTAGCCAGGTTGTTAAGATCTTTACATGCCAGAGGAGTTTGTATTTGTTCCTAGAATAGGAAGCCTTTATATTTTACTGAGCAAGGAAGTGACATAGTCAACCTGAAAATCACTTTGGCAGATGGATGTGGGGATGGATTGGAGAGAGATACTTTAGGTAGGGAGACCAGTTAAGAAGCTGTGGCAGGTCATTGAGAGAGTGAAGAGAAGGTGGTCTAGAAATGATTCTTGGAGTACACCCACAATTAGGGGCAGGATATGGATGATGAGCAGAACAAAGAATGTCACAAAATCCCAGGAAACAGTATCCCAGAAAATAAGAGTGATCATACTTCAGAGGAGTCAAAATTGATGAATACTAGGGCAAGATCATTGGTTTCAGCAATTAAGAGATCTTTGGTAACCTTGAAGGAATAATAATATCAAAAATTAAGAGGACATGTGATAACAAATGTAGAAAGCTTTTTTAAGGAATCTGGCTGAGAAAATGAGAGTTTGTAGTAAAGGATTTTAAAGATGAAGGAGAGGTGTTGTGTCTACAGCCAATAGGAAAGGAACTGGTAGAGAGGAAAAAACTGAAGACAAGTGCAGATGGACTATAGCTGGAGGAGATGGGAAGAAAGGGAATCCAAATTAGAAACAGAGGTTTGGCCTTGATGAGAAGAGCCACCTCTTCATCAGATACTGGAATAAAGAGAGAAGTTGGAATGATGTCAAAGAGTTTTAAAATGTAGAACAGATGAAATGAAGGAGCTCATGGAAAATTGCCTCTAATTGTCTTATTAAAGTACGAAATAAGGTCTTCTGCTGAGAGGATGGGAAGAAAGAGTGGTGCAGGAGGCATGAGGAGAGGAAGGAGTAGTCACCAGAAGAAATATTGGATCTATGATTTTCTTGGCTATGAATTCCTTATGTGTGTGCTCCTCCCTAAGAAAGTATGTGTATTCCCTAAGAAAGACCAAATCTTCCCTTTACTAGTCTGTGTATTTGTGGGAGAGGGTGCCCTAGGTCTATGGGAGAAATGCTTCATTACTTACTATGACATTTAATTAAATGCCTTTGATTTGAATTCCTTATGTCCTCCAATTTTTAAAGATTATCACATGAGTCAGGGCTCATAAGCTGTGGCTTTAGGGTACTGTGGCTGCAGACCACAATACACCTTGATCCTGGTTAGCCATTCTCAGACAGTTGGAGGGTACCTGCAGACAGGATATTAATTATGTGCATAAAGTAGAGAAAGAAAGCCTCTGACTTACCATTGTCATTGCCTTGCTTGATTTCCTCAGCCGTCCGATCTATTAATACATACAGTGACCACACGACACAGGTAATAGCGATAATGTGGAATGTGACAGAGCAGACTATTTTCCTCCTCTCACTTGTCGTCATCTGTAGTTTCTCCCACTGTAATCAGAAGAGAAGCAGATGTAAATGAACTGTCAGCAAGTCTTACAGAAAGTTTTTCAGCTCCTTCAACTGCTACGTCCTAGGCCTTCACGTATTAAATGAAATCTCCAATGGTTACAAATAGAAAAGACAGTTTTATCTTTATTTCCTAACAGAATCTCTATAATTTATAAGAGCATAAACCGCACAATTAAATGTAATTTGAAGATGTTGAAAATAATAAATTAACTGATAAATCCTTCCCTTCCCTTGTGAATTATAGTCAAACTACTTCCTTTCTCTGGGCCTCAATTTCCTCATTTGTAAAATGAGGTTATGGCCTAGAAATTTCCCCATTTCTAAAGGTGGGTGTCAAAACACCTTTTATTCTGGTTTATGTCAGTGTGACTGAAGTCAAATAGAAACAAGGCCACTAAACTGTACATAAGGATATTGACTTAGCAAACAACATATTGACTTAGAAAACAACTTATTAACACCACTTATGTTCTATTGTATTTTTATTTATTTTGTTAAGTATTTCTCAGTTAAATTTTAATCTGCTTCTGCCCTGCTGGCTGTGTATTTGGCATTCCTTGTATATATTCTACATATTGTAATACTCCAAGGGTCCATGATTTTGCTTATGTGGGTATTGCTGCTATCAGTGTAGCTCACAGCCTCTCTGAGTTTTATGAGCAGTCTTCATGAGTTGCTAAAATCCAACAAATGTATTGCTGTCTAGAAAATCCAGTAGAGAGCTTCTCTGAACTTGAGTAAGCTGGACCTTAAAAGGCTGTCATCTATTCCATGACTGAGCTTATATGCAAAGTCTTTACAGTTTGGTAGAACCTACTGGAGTTTGTATGGCACAAGCATAGCCTTCATGGCATTCACCTCCATGCCGTGATGTGGTAGCAGAGGTGGACCTAAGTGGAGGACCAGACTCTTCCAACTAGCTTCTGTGTTGAAGGAACAGTGTTCAAGAACTCTGAACAGCTACATATAGAATGGAGCATGGTGTTGTGCTCATTATGTGTATGTACTTTGCAAATATTTGACAAAAGAACCAGTCATCCAGATTAAAGCTTACAGTTTTTAATTGTGAATCTACTTTTGGTCATAAGAACTTTTCAAAATCTTCACATTGGGAGAAAAACAGAGACTTGGGCACTGTAAGCTGTTGTTAGTCACACTGTCTCTACTACTGCTGTACCTGTTTTATTTTAATTGCATCATCTACAAATTGACATCATCCTTCTTTTCAGAACACTGGCATTGATGGCAATAAGTGTAGGCCTAGGATTCAGAATTAGTCATCCTTTACATTTGTATTGCATTTCATAATCTACACAGCACTTTCTATACATTAGTTAACCTTCTTCATTTTCACAATGACTTTAAACCTAGGCAATGCAAATGCTACTATCCCTGTTTTGATGACGGGAAATTGAGATTGAGGGATTCATCTAAAATTCACAGGATCGAAGGATTCAGAGCTGGAAGGGATGTTAGAGACCAGTAGACCCAAACCCCATCTTGTGTAGATGAAAAGTGGCTTTTCCAAGGTCTCACAAGCAGTAGGTGGGGAACCCAGACTTGTACCCATGTCTGTTTACTTCAAATCCAATACTAATAAGTATATCTCCTCACTTGCTGTGGAAGGAAAACCATAAGAAGTTGATCCAAATAGTTCACAGACCAAGCTAATGCCATCTAAGACTACATTGAGTGGCAATGTATAGAACAAAGGAGGTGATGATTCTGCTGTACCTTGCCCTGTCAGAACAAACCTTAAGTTTTATGTTTACTTCTGGGTATCATGTTTTAGAAAGTAGACCGATGAGCTTGAGAGCATCCACCAAGTCGGTGAAGGGTTTCAAGACCATGCGAAGGTTAGTTGAAGAAACTGGGAATATTTAGCCTGGAAAAGAGAAGAATTGGGTGTGATAGGTATAAGTATTTCAAAGGCTGTCATGTGGAAAAGGGATTAGATTTGTCCTGTTTGACCCCAGAAAACAGAATGATTGGGAGAGAAAGTTACAGACAGGCAAAAATTCAGTTTCATTTAAGGGAAAAAAAACCAAAACTTAATGCAAATTCTCTAAAAGCAAAATGATGGGTTCCTCACTACAGACAGATCTTAAAAGCAAAGGCCAGATGCTCATATATAGAGGGGGCTCGTTTGGGATATGGGTTGGACTGAATGATCTCTGAGGACCCTTCCAACTCAGAGATTCTGAAAGATTCTGTGTGTGGAAAAAAAAAAGGCCTGTTTCAAGAATATGATTAAAAATGGGTTCTTTCCTTTTAAAAAGTGGTCAACCCCTGCTAGTTACCTAGGAATAACACTTGCTTCCTTTTTTGACACTTCTAAATTAGTCTATATTAAATTAATGAGCTTTTGCTACTCTTTAGCCTGTCTCCAAACTCCTTATCACTTCTGTTGCATAGTTTTATTTCTTTTCATCTAGTTTTGGCATCAATTCATTGTAATCATAATTTTTTACATCCTGTCAAATAAATAGACTGTGAATTTTACTTTCACCATATGACTTTGGTGTTTCCAGATTTAATCAATATACCCTGCTGTGCTTTAATATCCTGGCTTGTCAAGTAGGAAACATAATATGGTGCAGAAAAACAGTCTCTCATTTTTGCCCCCATCCCCTCAACCCTCTAAAGTACGTCAGAGTACATTCAATAAAAGCATTATACCAAATCTGATTGGGGGAGAAAAAAAGCAACCTTTAAAAAGCAGGGGCCTCTTAAAATTGAGAAGCAATTTAATGAAATTACGCAGGATCTTGTTATTTGATTCTCACCTGCTTAGAATGGTAAAAGTGCCTGAAAACTGGTTGAAACTAGCTGTATGTCGCAGTCACTAAAAGCAAAGCACAAATGTGAAGCAAGATCGCCGCCTGCTGTACAGTTAGATCACTGCACACATATGTTTGGTGCAGATTTCATCTGCAGAATGTCATATTTTGTAAACAAGTGGGGACTTTGCTGCATGTTTTGTAGATTCATGGATACAAGGACTGAACCACAGTTTTCAGTCTGTAATACTGAGGCATGGACATATTGACAATAGGATTGAAAGACAGAAGGCATATTAGAAGGAACCCTCTCTGCTTTCTCTGCTGTCTTAAATGGGATGGGGGCTCCCCATACTTAGAAAATCCTGACTTGACCTTTAGACCATGATCCTCTATCTCTTCTTATCCCTTTCTTAGTAAAATTGCCCTCACCACTTAACTAATGCTGAGCTCTCCAAGGTACCAGTGGTCTCTTAATTGCCAAATCCAATCCCAGTTCTCATGCTTGGGCCCCTCTGCTGCATTAGATAACTGCTGATCACCTGCTTTTCCAGGGTAGTCCCTCTTCTTTGGATTTTTTTTTTTGGTCTTACACTAATTATTCCTGGTTCTCCTACCTATCTGCTGCTCCCCCTTCGTTTTCTTGACTAACTTATAATCCAAGTCATGGCCCCACTAGGCTATATCCTAAAACTCTGTCCTATGTGCCTTCCTCTGTAGTCCTTCAGTGCTCTCTCCTGCTTCCCTGCATTTAACTATCACCTTTATGCAGATGACTTTCAGAACTATATTTCTAGCCCTAGTCTCTTTTCTTAGCTCCAGCTCCACATTACTAATGGTCAGACATTTTGAACTAGAAGTTCATAGCCGTCTAAAACTCAACATATCCAAAACAGAACTCAGAAATTTTTACCCAAAACCCAACCCTATTCTGAGCTTCCGTATTCCCACCAAGGGAAACATTACCATTCTGTTCACCCAGGTTCGTAATTTAGGTGTCATCATGTACGCTTCATTCTCCCAATCCCACATAAACAATTGGCTGCCAAGCTTTGTCATTTCTACATCTGTAATATCTTGCATCCACCCTAATTTAGGCCCTCATCACCTTTAACCTGGACTATTGCAGTATCTTCCTAATTGGTCTCTATGCCTCAAGTCTCTTCTCCAATTATTACACAGATGGACAGACAGAAAGAAAGAGCATTTATTAAGTGATTACTATGTGCCAGGGGTAGCTAGGTGTTGCAGTGGGTAGAATGCTGGATCTGGAGTCAGGAAGACTGCGTGACCCTGGGCAAGTCACTTAACCCTGTTTGCCTCAGTTTCCTCATCTGTAATATGAACTGGAAAAGGGAATGGCAAACCATTCCTATTTTTCTGTCAAGAATACCCCAAGTTGGGTTGTGAAGATTCGTACATGACTGAAACAACTAAACAACAAAAATGTTTTAGCCCCTGGGCTAAATGCTAGGAATAGAAATGCAAAGAAAGAGTTCCTATCTTCAAGGAACTTATATTCTAATAAGAGAAGTTTATTTTCTAATGGGAAAAGGTAGAAAAGTCTGGATAGTCAGGAGCAGAGTATGGGTGGCCTGGGCTTTTTATGAAATAGTGACCCTGGCAAGAACTTACTAGGCAGAGGAGGGGAAATAGAAGCTTGATATTTTAAAATCACAAGTTATACATACCATGTCACTCCTCTGCTCAATAAACTCTAGTGCTTCCTTGTTACCTTGAGCATCAAATACAAATTCCTTTGACATTTAAAGCTCTTTACAACCTGGCTCCAACCTACCTTTCTAGGCTTATTATACATTGCTTCACTTTATTCACTCTATTTTCCAGCTGACCTGATCTTTCTATTCCTCCCATGTAGAACTTGATCTCCCAGCACAGCACAGGCTGAGGCTCCTGCGTAGAATATACTCCTTCCTCACCAGTGCCTGGAGAAATTCATTGCTGGGGGGGGCAGCTAGGTGGCGAAGTAGATGGAGCTCTGGGCTTGGAGTCAGGAGGACCTGAGTTCAAACCCAGCCTCAGATACTTGGCATTTAATAGCTGTGTGACCCTGGGCAAGTCACTTAACCCTGTTTGCCTCACCAAAAAGCAAAAAAAGAATTATTGTTTATTTCAAAACTTAGCTTAGATGCCCAACCTCTTACAGTAGGATTAGAACCCTTTCTTGAATCCCCTCCA